TTCTTCGATTTTACATATAAAATTATGCACGAAGATCATTAATTTTATATATGAGTGACACTTGACCCCCTGTAAATCCGCAATGTCCTGCGACTGGTATAAAATAAAAAATTATTGTCCATAGTTAATTTTGTTTACAATGAATAATTTCCGTTGCTTGTGATTAATTTCATCTATAATAATAATAATTTCGTCACCCGTAATTAATTTCGTCTATAATGAATAATTTCGTCACCCGTAATTAATTTCGTCAATAATGAATAATTTCGTCGCCCGTAACTAATTTCGTAACCCGTAACTAATTTCATATAATAATATTAACATTAACATTAATATTAATATAGTTCATTTCTCCGTAAAAATTTTATACACATGCGGAATATTCAGCCTCATATCTCTACATATTTATGTAGTATAAAATTAATGATTTTTCAGATAATAACTATGAGTTTATCATTTCGAAACTATGTAGGAAGGTTTGCCTTTCGGCATCTATATAAGCACACAAAATTCTCATCAACTTCCAATTTCTAATTATACAAAAATTAATTTAATCCAAACTGTCCAAACAGTAACTAATATTAAATAAAAATATATAAAATACTAACAATGAAACAAGCTATTTTAATTGTGCTTTTTGCAACTCTCCTCTCTAGCGTCTTTGTTAGCGCAATGACTACCGGTGGTGTAAATGGACTCTTCAAAAGACAAGGCACGTATGTGTCTTAATCTATTCTAATAACATGCACAAATGATTTTTTTGCAAATTTCTCATTTAAATTTTTATGTAGATTTATATCTTGATATTTATTAACTGTGCGTGCACATTTATCAGGGGGCAGATGTCTAAGTACTGCTGATTGTGGTGATCCTGATCTAGTATGCGGTGGTGCTGATGGAACATGTCAAATTAAGCAAGGGGCAGAATGCTATGGTGGCGACGACGATGACTTTGAGTGCATATATTTTGTTTGTCGTCGTAATGTTACAGGTTATGAGAAGCCAACATGTCAACTTACTGATACTCGTCCTTCTGGAACGTTTTGCCTATTGGATTATGCATGCCAGAGTGGGACATGTGTTTCAAACGTGTGCAAATAAATATATTATTAATTATATAATTACGCATTTTAGATATATAAACTATTTATTAGTATTTAGATTTATTACTATTTCATTTTGCATTTAATCATTATTAATAGATAAATTATCCCTTAATAAGAGATACAGTACCTGGAAGAAAGTATCCGAACGCAGTTTTTCGAAAATTCCGCAAAATATTACATAATAAAAAAATAAAT